ATAACTGACAACCTTGTGTTAGGGGCACGGGTACTTTCTCAGACCAGGTGTTATTCCAAGCCGAGGGAAGACCCTTGATTCGTCACATAATGAGCAGATGACCTACAGAGGAGGCTGTAAACGGAACTGAGAGGGTCATTTGCGCGGGAACTACGGAGTAGGTAGTCGATCAACGGCCCATGCGTGACTAGAAACGTAAAGCCACCTTAAAATTCTCCAATCAGCGCAATTCTAGATAGTGCACACGGCACAGTGCACTGTTTATGTGAACAATATTGCCCTAATTGGAGTTAGCTTTCGCTCATATACTCCGGAACCGCACCGTCCACCGACGGCTGTACGAGGTAGAGCAAGATGTAGTATCGTTACACAATAACGCCCGTCGCGACAGTCGGACTACATCATTAAGTATATTGCAAATGTACAAGGTTCGAAATGGAAAAAGCACAGATAGTTTATACACGCTGTCCTATGTCTCACAACACCCCGGTCTTGCAGAGCTGCCGTTTTCCACGCTCGGCACCCGGCTTTTCTTCCCCGTAACACAAATGGCAGGATTTGTGCCAGCCTCACAGAGCACAAGGTGACTAGTAGCTCCAAATAGGGAAAGACTGAATCTATCTTCCATCGTGCACGTTTAATTTAGACCTTGCATGGTTCACCTGGGTTCTTTAGTCAACCCGCCAAGTCGATCTATACCCCGGATGCAACATGCTTTCTTATTACCACCTTAAACAACGAAATAAATTAACTTGGTGAACCATCGACTCGCGCCGAGTGGTGTTTCTGTTCTTTGTTACGCAGATCTATTGGGTTATGTACTTCAATGTTGCTTTTAGACACGAAAAAAGTACATCTGATAATGTGTCCCTATCAATCTCATCAAACCGAAATGGGCGGTAAGTAACGTACATTCATAGAAAGGACGACGATTGCTATACCGCCACCTCCTGGCCACAGCCAAGCTTTATCATTGAAGGTGCCTAGAACAAACCCCGCCAGTTCCACCCCTACATTCCTGGAGACCTACACATATTGGACAGTGTGGGGCCAGTTGATTGAGACAGACGCATGCTGATAACATTATTTGTTCGGGCAACAATGTATTAGAAATGCCAAAGTCGACATGACCAATGGCATCTCCAGCTTATTTGCTTTTTGACTTAATTTCTGGGTCAGAGTTTAGGATGTTTCTCTTTCGATGCAACATTAGGACCAAATTTTCTCCACTATTGACAATAAAAGGCAAAGGCAGCTTTGACCAAGAGTTAGGACAGAGTATACTCCTAGAGAGTAGCTTTGAAAGCCATGTGTTAAATTTATAAGGGCCGCCTATTGCTGCCTATTGCCGCCGAGTTGGAAGCGCATACAATTCACGTCTCAACCTACTATATCTCCTTTGAATAGTCGTAGTTCCCGGAACTACCAAAGCCGTGATCTGCATAGGACAGACGAGCATATGCCGGTACCAAAGCACGTATAAGCTGTATACTTACTAACATGTCACAAGCAAGGCAGAAACCGGGGGGCCACAATTTCCTATTTGATATAATGAGCATGCTTAATGTTGCTTTGAGAGTTGTGCATCGGGGGCCACGCGTTGTACAGGTTCACATCTCAAATTGTCGTATCCTAGCTTCAAATCTATCATAGCACACAGACCTTTTGGCAGAACAGAACAGTCTGATTGTTGGTATATACAGGTTTAACTTGCGGCGGATGTGGCCGAAACAAGTAAAAGCTGTACATGGGGATGTACAGCAGTGCTTATTCATACTGTATATTATGGCACGCAGATCTACCATGTATTGTGCTCGATCCAAATCCTTCTACCTGCGTTTCCCCATTCCTTGAATGCAACAAAGAAGCCTGGAGATACTATGCAACCCCGAGAGGCGTCCGTTGATTTGCTGGGGCTAGCATCCGACCCACCACCGTTTGAAGAAGATTTAAATCCAACGGCGCTTATAGCGATATTTATCTTTGAAGGGCCGTTTCCGCTGCATGCATGTCTACCTGGGTAGGTCTGGGCACGCTGTGGATGTCTTAGTAAGCCCAACTGCGCCCCGAGCCCAGGTGGCTTAGTTGTAAGCCAGATAGATACCCGGAGATAAGACCTGTCTAGGGTACGGGGTATTGATGAGTTCAAAAAGCCCAGTCGCGTGCATGCACTAGCGTGAATCAAGTTTGTTTCGGGCTGCAGTAACAGCACAGGCCGGAAGCGCCCGGGGTAGAGAACTCGTGACTCAGTGATCAGGTAAGATCTGCAGGGTGTGAAATCCACCAATCCTCGAAAAGGGGATTTTGGGAAGCCCATCTGGTGTTTTGCAGGAGTTTCTGTTTGCTGAACGCGCAGGTTCAAAGGGGAAGTTGCGTGATTAATTTGCTGAGGCTCTCGTGTAAATCGTAGATGTTTCTTCTTGAGTTCAACCATATACTATGCCTGTCTGCAATATATCATGCATGGTTTGTGTTGTGGTAGGAAGATATCGGATATGCTCGTCATAAAGCACCGAGAAGGAGCATATATCCTGGAGTAGATAGCAGTGGTTCGATCAAGTCCTGATCAGAATGACATGTCTATCCGCACGGTGCAATATCGGTGGTTAGAAATTAACAAATCAAGACACTGGATATAATTCGATTGTTAGCCATCCAGTCATCCTAGAAAAAGGTCCGATAATTCAGATCATTTCATGTCGCCTGATTAAGAACTGGAGAGACAGACAGAGATCTGACATCTCGAAAGAGCCAGGTCGATAATGGGGTGAAATCATTGTCTGATGTCCATGGAATGGGATTCACTTAAACTGACTCTTTCTATGTTTAAAATTTGTTAAAAAAGGAAGGAGAGGCTCAGTATAGAGATGCTGGTAGGACAACCGGGCCGGATCCGAACCACGGTAGAGTAAAAGGCTATCTCGAGATGTTACGTCGACGATACAATTTTCTGCAATAAGAGCGTTAGGGAATATGCCCGAAATGCGCATAGACTGAAATAAAAGACTATTTCGAGGGTTGGGAGGGCGGCTATAACAGAGTGGCGGCCGATAGCAGGATTCCCGCAGTACAGGACACAAACAGAGCCGCCTGGGCTGTTTATCCATATCAAGAGCGAAGCGACCGGATATCGTGGAAGTTTAGTGTACAGCATGTGTAATGGGGCGTTTGTTTCCAATCCCAGAGAACAATAATGTTGTTGACGAGTGCGAAAGTGGGTCTGGATATAATGCCGTAGAGTAGATCATCCTACCAACTCTACTGGACTCAATCCCTAGGGAACCGTGGTTGACAGTCGGTCTATATTTTCGCACGGAAATGATATTCGTTCTGGTTGGAGATTGATATTTCGCCTATTGCAAATATCTGATAGCACTGTTTCAATGGAGTACGGAGTACATGTAGGATCTACAGATATGAAACCCTCTTAACTGCGACCGTAACAAGTCACGATTTCGAGGTGCGACAGTTAACTGTATTAGTTTTAACGGGGCGAACTAGTTAGCGCTAGAAGAATTGTGGGTCCTACCAACGTGTGTTAGCGGGTACAGAACCTGCTTCGCAAGCGCCCAGCCCTTTCACAGGCGATTCTAGACTTCGTTGGGCTTGGCTACAATAGCTTCAAAGTTGGAATTAGTGGGGTCTACAGCAGATCGGACCATCTTTTTCTTTCCTCTTGTTTCAGTCGCCATCAACGGTTTGTATGTTGTAGATTTATTGTACTCTTTTATATAATTTATTTCATATGTGATTTTGGTCAGGTGGCTACAATAGGTCGGAGGGAACTCCGACCGTGCTAGGGTCTTGTCCATGCTTGGCATCCTATTTTATTTTGAGGGGCCGTTATGAAATCGGAAGTATCGGCAAGATAATTTCCACTGCTTTATTGCGTTGGAGGATAAACTTAGGCGGAGTTAAAATATTCGGGCGCCACCATATTGGTTTGCTTGGCTGGTGTCCACGGAAGGAACTGGTGTAGGTTTATAGCGGGGGTTTAGAGGATTGCCTCCGTTGCACGGATATTATAACCAGACGATTGGGGACTAGAGCCGGCTTCGAAGGAGTCCAAAGATCGTCAGGAGGGGCATCTTTCTGTGGACACGTACGGGAATGCTTGGACTTGTCGGTGTACGGATATTTTTCCAGTACATATTATGTCGGGACATATGTTGTATGTTGTACTTATTATTTAATATGAGGTGAAACTCTTATGGTTGGCTGTGGCGGAAGAACTGAAAGTAGCGTTTTACCCAGGGTTGGCGTTAGGGCTTGCTGAGTCACGTAACAATGCGATGGTGTTTTCCTTGGAAGGTTGGAACTGGGAAACTAGTATTTTTTATGATGTAGAGATGATTTTAATCTGGTTTTTATTTATTTAGAAATGAAGAGAAAGAAGAGTTACAAGTGATATTTTCCGGCATATACGAAGTAAGGCTAAAGCCGCATTCGTGAAGGATGAGGGGGTTCGGACTTCCTAGGAAAGTAATCCGTGGGGATCGTGAGATTTTCCTCCCCAATGTTTCTATTTTCTTTTTTCTTTCTGGGATTAGGGCGAATAAGCAAGATAAGCTCCGCAGAAGAGTCTCCACCGAAAAATTTTCGAAGCATCAAATGATCAAAGAAAACTGGGGCCATCCACTTCCAGAATAGCTACACCGGCAATCCCATTTTTGTCTGATTTTGTCTAATCATTTTAAAGAGGATATTAAACGAAATTGAAATAATTAAGGGAAAAATATCGACTATCTTTTTTTCCTGGGGTAGAATTAGTTTAATATAAGTTATACAATAAAAAGAGGAAGAAAGATCAGTCAAGGCCTGGAACCGGTTTCGTCTGGTGACACGGCAGACCGGAGGCGCTTGGACCAAGTTCCCCATTCTTCGGGGTATAAGACTCGTTACCCTTTCCCACCTTTTCTGGCCTTTTTTTGCTTTGGAACTCCCACTTTACACATATTCATAAACGGTCTCTTAAAAAATAACCTATGATCATTTAAAACATGAACGCTGCTACTACGCAAAAAGCCCCCAAAACCCCAAAACCAACCGCCTCCGTGCCAATTGTCCAAAATAAACGCTGGCCCCCTATGGCGAACCGAAATGCCCTCCCTTACAAGCTCACGCATATCTCAAAAGAGAAACTTGCTCGTGAAGCCACTGCACCAGACCCCGACCTCCGCCGCTGCGTGGCCCACTTTCGCCTGCACTGCGGTTCCGTCTCATGGACCGAGAATGACATGAAGTCTCGCATCAGCTCATTTGATTTCGAAGACACCGATGAAGAAGACGACGTGGATGATATGAGCAACAAAGAATTGCCCGTCCTAAAGAATAGAGCCCCGGCCAACGAGACTCCCGAAGTCGCTGAACAAGTATCATACACATCAAAATCAGAACCCGTTGCTGTTGCAGCACCCCCGGCATCGCCACCATCACCTGAAAATTCATCCGAGCATGGTTTTTTGGAAAAGGGTCGCAATTGTCTTGAGGCGACCTCCAAACACCTATGGACAGGGGGGTCTTGCATGGTCTCCTCAATGGCGGGTTAATCTCGCCCAATAACCTCTCCTACACTCTCGACCACCGACCATTTTCTCCTGATCCTTTACAACCGACACACACGATATTACGATTTGATGACCATAATGACACAAAATGAATCCATGTATATAACTTTACCTATGACAATATGTCATTTATAATTACCAAATCAGATTTTTTTTTTTTTTTGCTGGACAATCTACTTTTCCTGATTCCATTAACTCGAGTATTAGCAGCCTATAACGTATATGACCTATTGAAAAAGGGTTCACTTTGAAATCTTCCCCAAACTCCCCAAACTCCCCACATTACTCTATTCTTGTATTCCTAAGCTGGAAGGTCAAGCGAAGTGAGTCACCTGCCACGTAACCTAGGGTCACATGATAGCACGAAACTGGAATGACGATCGACACAATCTATTAATGTCAATATAAGAGAGCTAACGCAGGTTCAAATCCAAGAACGGGGCACTGTGGAACCATGATCCTCGCCGTGGAAACCAAAGGAAAACAAGAATTATGTATGGCGAAAAGCTGGAAAAGTGGCGAATCTCCCGGTTTCATCATAGCCATGTCACAATTTATATGGAGCCATCTTGAACCCACTCAGTGACATCCCATTATACAACATACTCCCATTATACCCTGTGGAAAATGGGTCCATTTTTGCTTCGGATCCAATTGATCTTATCGAGTCATTCTGCATAGCCTGACGTCTCTATGATAATCCAGATAATCACATCACATCTACCCTGAATCAAATTGAGTTGTAGCGAGAACATGAAACAAGAAAACGAAAGGCGAAAAGAGACAGGAACCATACCACATGGCCTCACAGCAGAGCACATAAACCCTACCCGCACAGTCGTACTCATACATCATAGTACTCGAGAACGTCACTCCAGAACTTCAGCCACTGCTCGGCCCGAACGAACATCCAATCTGACCTCCACCTTTTTAACATCACGACAGCCACGCTCTCCAGCCCCGCAAATCTACCATGCACGACCGTTCCACCAATCCGCCTGATTGGCTGGTATCTCAATCCATCCCCGTACCAAGAACCCAACGGTAAACTCTCGGCTCAAAAGGAATCGACCGGGATCGCTGACGCCGAAGGTCTAATATCGCCCAGTTCCTCAACTACCCGAAAAGCTCAGCGATGTTATATATGACGCTGATTTGTTTGATACTCTTGGATGAACCTTCGGATAGCCCGTTTCGTGAAAAATGGTAGGACAATGGGTCTAGTAGGGCCGATGGATATTTTGAATTTTGATAAGCGTGCAGATGTCAATTATAAGGACCCTGTAGTATTGATTTAGGCTGATAGCCGCGAAGTGTGCAGTCGGGATGCCGTGCTGCCCGAGTACAGCCTAGTTGGTTTTCGGCTATTAGTACTAACATAAACGAATTTTACTGTCGACATGATTTTCATCTGACCGTTTGGCCTCGGCCTGACTATCTTCATACCATAAGGCCCGACATAACTAAGCCCCACGTTTGTCTTTCCCTTATTTAGGCAATACCTTACATAGTAACCATGTCCGAGGATGCATACACCCAAATGCCTCATCATACCCCGAACCTCTGCTCTCCTCGGAGATGCACGTCTGCGACGATATCCTCGGCTGCAGCAGTACCTTCAAGGAGCAATCCGGGATGTAGGTGAGACCCAGCATGTGATATGCAAGAGATAATGCACCTCCATCGGTCAAAGCTTGCATTAGCCCCATTCTTTAGATGCAGCTTGGAAGTGTAATCATCCCAATAGACCAAAGCCTGCGGTCAAATAGCTCATATGCCCGTACAAAGTACAAAATACTATAATTTGTCATTTCGGATAAATTAATAAGTAATAATACCTGCATGTCTTCACCGTAAATCACAATTGAGAAACAACAACATCCGCTTTCCCAGAGACGAATTCAATATTCCAGCCTCCTCTCGCGCGTTTCAATTGGCTTCCATCCACAGCATACTCATCCTCCGTACCTGGACTCTCGACCCACATAATAGCAGAGGAAACATCGGACGAGCCAGGGACAATACGTAGTTGAAGAGATGTTGGTTGAGAAATATCAAACGAGGCCTCTTCTATCAATCCAGCGCTGATAGTGACATACACTCCCATCTGGGCAATATAGATCCGCCGACGTACAGCGTCTCGTGGCTGCACGGTGATTGTGTTTCCATTGGTGGCGATATTCCCACCATACGCGATAAGTCCGACATCGGGATCATCGACGACGTAGACAGCAGATCCAAGCATCATGCCTAGGAAGTTTGGACCGTAGTCGCCTGAATAATCGTCGCCTTGTAGCGTATCAGGGAAAGAGTGGAAAGCGTTGTACATCGAGCCATCTTGTCTGATGTTGGATAGTGGTCCTGTTATTCCGCCGTAGCCAACTCGGAGGAGATAGATGTCTTTTGGATTCTGGCGGAAATGGGATAGCAATGGAAGTGCATTGACGCTTGATCCGTAGTGATGGATCATGCGCTCTATGCGCTGTAGTTTGCCACCGTAGCTGAATGAGAGGTTAGTAAATGAGGAAAGTCAAGAAAGCTCGATTGCAAAAGATTGAACTGGGTTTTACATGAAGTCCCAATATCGCCGGGCGTTCCCATTCCACCCCCAATGTGGAACTGTGGGCATATAACCAAGGATGCTGTTGATGGTCTTGGTTGCAGTGTTGATCAATTTGAAATAGCTAAATTGAATGTTAACAAAGCAAGTATCACTGCCAGAAAGGACTAAAGAGCAAAACATACTTGCTCCAGTAGTAGATTCCCTCTTGGCCAGTCGAGTCCCAAGCCATCTCACTGCCAAAAGGAACTTCCTGCGTATCCCATGCCTCAGCACGAAGCTTCATTGCAGCCTCCACCGAATCGGCCTCGGTAGTCCACTGTTCCCGCCTCAAATCAGATAGAAGCTCACCAACGACAGTCTCACCCATGAGTCCGAGACGCGAGTACCCGATAAGCCCATTCCCACTCGAATCCGTGGCGAAACAGGTAACTGTGGTGTTGTACGCTTGACTGAGATACCACTGCCAATTGTGTGTCTTCAGAAGAGACCCGTTATCTCTGCCTGCGCGATACAACGCCCAGTATGCCCCGATCACATGGATATAGTCGTAGGCACGGTCTGTAGCATAGGAAGCATCCTTATTCCACGACCACCAGTTGCGCCAGTCGAGAGACTGATCGTATTTGTATCCAGGGATTTGAGCAGGCTCATAAAAGAAGAGACTCTTGCGAACGGTAAAGTCTGAGTTTTGGAGAGACTTTGACAGAACCTCGGAAGCAAATTGTTCAAGTTTTGATACTTCCGTCGCATCAGCTAAGCCAGATTGCTTCATTGCGCTGGCCAAGTAGGTCACGCCGCCTTCGTCGCTTAGTCCGGCTATCCAGACTCGGGGTTCTTGGAGGACTTGGGCTTGGGTTGAGTGGTCCCATGTCATGACTGATGGGGCTCGATGGAAGGGGTCGTTTTTGTCATTGAACCACATCGATGTGGTAGTGAATTCGCCTAATTTGCTAATTGTTGCTGGTGCTGAGTCCGTAATGAAATAGTGTACCGTTTGGACTTTGCCGTCTTCGTATGTGATGGTTACTCTGGTCCGACCCCAAACCAAGCCGGTTGGGGTGAGCGATAGAGCGCCATTTTTACCTTGGGCTATCTTAAAGGAGTTGTTTTCGGACACGACCTTGGAGATCTGAGAGTGAAAGACGTAAAGTCGAGCTGTGAGATCGACTGGTACCACGTATCCTGGTATGCCCAGCGTGACAGGCGTGTTGGTGGCCTTGACTGCATCCTGTATACCACGTACACCGTCCTTTACAATCGTGTAGCGGAGTCCGTAGGTCACTGATTCACCTGGGCTTATGGGCCGAGAGCTAGGCTCGTTCCATGGGGTGGCACCAGACCACTCATTCTCAGCATAGGCTTTAGTGTGAGTCTGCCATTCGTAGAATCCCTCAAATGTTTGACTGCTGTAATAGAGAGGCTCAGTGCTTGGCTCGTCCAGGTTTCGCCATGCTTCCAGTGGAGTGGTTGTGTTGAGCAACGGAGTAACGATCAACGATGCCCCGGTCCCAGATGTGGGGGTCACCTGGAGGTACCCAGCATCCATCCCGATATATGGATCTGTGAGCGAGCACTTGGCCACCATATCTTCTGCTGCACGGTTTGAGAAGATACTGTTAAATTCGGTCGGGAAGCCCAGGCTGCCAATTTCTATTGTCTGTTTTCCCTTGTTGGTCAGAGTAAAGGTCAACCCGAGATCGCCGTCAATGTCGATCCATTCTCGAAGAATGTTGATGGGAGAGGTCGGTAGGGTTTGTGTCATCTCAGCGGCAGCAAGAGCATCAGACTTCACACTTGGCAACGGTTTTCTTGCTTTTGCCGAGTCGCCTGAAATCCAATTTGTTGAACCAGACAGTCGATAACGATATGCAATGTCCCCATTATGGTACTGGCCATCTGCCGCTCGGTATGTAATGTCATCGAAAGGCAAGAAGTCGAAAGACTCTCCTGCCGGCTTGAGAGAGGCGAGGACCTGGGAGTCTTTGACCAACTTGATGTCAAAGTTGGCTGTAGATAAAGGAGTATAGCCATTAGCTAGACCAAGTGTATCATCATAGGCTTGTACAGCCACAGAAAAGAGGACGAAGAGCCCCGAATCAAGTTTCATTATACTGTTAGACGAGGCAAACTCCCCCCGACCCTTGGCTTGATAAAGTAGAATGAAAAATTAGAAAATATAAGGAAAAGTTAGCGTATACCATGCTGCCGTTAAATATCGAGACCCTGGAGAAGATGCAATGTGAGACATCGGAGCTATTAACCCGTTGTTGATTTACCCCCACACTTTTACTCCGTAGCGTTGCATCGTGAGAGCCAAGTTGCATAAATTTAATCGGACATGAATAGATATTTTTACGCCAATGAGGAGTTGTTTATTCTGCTTAAACGGCTAGTGTCTGTCATTGTAGTCCTAACTCCCGGAATATGATCTCAGATTATTAATGTACATGATCAAATCTCCGACATTGAAAAGGCTAGATCAAAATCATTAAACATTTCCACTGGATCAAGCAGTCCAATATCCACATGAGACTGAGTCAGGAAATCCAGCATTGTGGGTTGATGCAGAGCCATTTCCGTAGTGAGGAATGGGACACTCGATTCAAAGAGTGGATGACCCAGATCTTCCAGAGGACCCATGGTGGATTGGGGATTCCGACTTTGGTGTGATCGTAACGATTCCGAATTCGATTCTTCAGCCATCGGCAAAAGATTGGCAACGTTGTCTATAGTACCGTGAGAAAGTCCCGATGTAGAGTATATCTGGCTATCGTGAAGACACTGTCGCACGCGCTGCATGCGCTCGTATAGATCTCTTGACGCGAGATTATCGGATAAGCTGAGATTCCTGAGGATTTCCGTTGCTGTTTCGGCCGATGTCAAATCGCTTGGATCTCCGAGTGGCAGAAGACTTGAAATCACCAGAATTAATGCGGCAGAGAAGAGGAAGGCAGGGAATGAGTAGCCAAATACTGCTAGGGATCCGCCGGTCCATTCATTTACACATAACGCTAGCGAGTGTCTTGCCGCGTGTATACACGCCTCACTCAATGTGATTAGGATGGGTGAAACGGAGCCCATGGACTGGTTGGTTTGATCTTTCGTCTTCAGAGTGAGGACATGGAGGAGGACTGGTCGAATTGCCAGGATGACGCACTAAAGTAGTCAGTATGGGTTCGAAAGAGGAGAGTAATTAACTTACAAAATTGAACTGAAGATGCATTTGAACCGTATGTTTTGCATTTGGCCTTTCTGTACTAAGCCTCAGATGATCGGGAAGAGACTGAACCCACTGTTTCAATTGAGTTAGAAGTCTCTGTTCACGGTGTAAGAAGGTCTCAGCCGAAATCTTTCGACAGTATATCTCTCCCGTTGTGTCACCAATAATTTTGGCAAGTTCGATTGCTGCCACCTGGTAAGCCGCATCTGAAAATTGGTCATGGTATGTTTCAGACGCTGAAATGGACGGTGGGTCGACGTGGATATCCTCGTCGTGAATTTGCACAGGAAATCCTGACTTTGAGCCCCAGTATCGGTCAAGCACGTAGATGGTCCACCATATCCGGACACGGTGTTCTCGTGCCACTGGGTGTAGATTTTGGGTTTGTGGGATGTTATAATTTAGGCCGATGCTGAGGCCGAGTCGTAATGCATTCCCAATCAAAACGTAGGCGGAGTGAAAGCGGTTCAGGAATTGACAGTAGAAGGCCTAGAGAGTAAGCAAGAGCTGAGGAGGCTGCCGAAGAGGGTACTGACAAGCAAGAGCAAACTTTCTATATGAATCATGCTTGGTCGCTCGGGGGCGATCTGGATGAGGCTCCACGCTTTGGCAAAATAGGCCAAACCAGGTACACTCGACGTGTCTGAGAGGTCATGGGGAGTTGAAAAAACTTGGGCGATGGCAAAAAGAGCAAAGTATTTGCACTTGATACTCGGATTATCAAAGTCACCTCTCTGATAGACGCCATGGAGCATGTCCAATGTGTCTTTTTTCAATGCCAAATGGAAACTTGGGATGATATGACCAAGTGCAGTCTTCACTAATAGCTGAGCACTCACAAGACCGGGCCATTGTACATCTGTGTGAATTAAAGACGATATTTCCAACTCGTCCGTATAACGTGATCTTGGAAGATGAGGTATTGGCATGTTTGTCCCTTTCAAGGACTGGCACAGACGAGTGGCAAAAGCAGCGCAAGTTGCTTCACTAATATAAAGGGGGACCACTGAGGCGTCATTGGATTGGAACCATGGCTTCTCACCAAGGAGGAGATTACTCTGTTCCAGGGGCTCGGTGTTCGCAGCTGCATTCCCATAGACTTGTTGGGGACCAGATTTCTCCTCTGGTCTGCTTGAGTGGCTTTCTTGTTTCAAACGATGTCGTTGATCATGCAGTTCTTGGCTATCTTTTAGGAGTTGCTCCAAATAGCTATTATTGAAGTTAGTGACTCATTTGAAACTGTCGCCCAAAGACGATATACCTTTCATCCACCCGTATCTTGCGATCTCTGGTCGCATATCTACATTGGGATTCGAAGCCTACAGCTCGGCATTTCGAGCATGGCTTTTCTCCGGAGCATTTGATCTTTTGGGCATGACACCGATGACAACTGTGCAAAGTGTGAGCAGAGATTTGATACCGCTTTTGGACATTCTTACGCCACGGCTCTTTTCTTTGGTCTTGCTGTACGGATGGGCTGCTGGCCAGATCGGTGTGTATTGAAATCAGTGCTCATCTTAATTCATAAGTTGTCTTAATATAAATTGTTGAGGCTATGAGCGGCGGATGCCCAGATATGTTCGGGAAATATTCATTTCGCCGGTCCGCCCAATCATGAACGAGAATATGGAGCTTTTGGAGTATTTGATGTTAACGAGGAAAAAGTGCTTTGAATACTGAAAAATTCTATTTTATAGGTAAACATTCATAAAATATAGACTTAGTCGCTCTTTTTCTAATTTATGTGACCAAATTTGTAATTCACACCTGTGGGCCGTAGGATATGTTAAGTATCATGATGTCTAGTCTTGGTATGAAACTGTCTGCCATACATATATTTGACACCTACGATGCAATATACATGGATTCAATACTATAACCAGTGCGATTCTTAACCCTAGCTACTTCTGACAGAAAGCAAATAAACAACAGCTCATGAATGACAGGACGGAGTAGATTGAAACGGAAAAAACAAGAACAGTAAGAGTCGAACAAAAGGCCTGACAACAATCCTTCTGTAACCTCCCGAAATAACCTCATCCATAGGACCAAATATTGTCTCACGTTTCGTGATGCAACCGTCACACCTTCTCGTAGTTGGCACACCCCACTTTCTTTCCGCCAAACGCTGCCTTGATAGCGTTGTTCATATCAACATGGGTACAAGTAGTTGGTGCCTTGAAGCCGGCGTTCATCGTCTTGCCGTCCTTGGCATAGTTGCAAGCCCAGCCTGTCACCGCGCAGCCGCGGCCGTTGATATTGTCGAGGAATCCAGAACCGCACGTATCATCGGTGAAATCGCTGGCATCGTTGATTACAACATTCCAATAGTTGAACAGATTAGTGGCCTTCCACATACACTGCTCGTCAAGGCTCAACTTCGGGTCTTGGGGGTTGATGTATCGACCTTTGTTGTGTTCGCGAGCATCCAACTCTTTAGGGTTGGCCTGGATAGGAGATGCTGTTGCGAATGCAATAGCAAGACTCATAAGAGTGATCTGTTTGAAGTGCATGATGGAAGTGAGAGGATTTCAAATTGAAAAGAGTTGAGAGTTGTGTGAAGTCTTGTAGAAATGATTGCAGTGGAAATGTGTGTAATTGCTTTTGTTTGATGCTTGATATTTGGGAATACGGTCGCCTTTTATGTTTTGAAACTTCAATTGAACTGTCTAATTCCTGGACTTGACTTTCAACCTTGTCACCTAAATTTTGCTGGGGCTATCTCTATACTAACAGAATGAGGCAAAGAGCTGTTACCTTTACGAAATATCCTGCACATCAGTAGAAAATGGCCCCTAGCAATTCTCTGGGCAAGATCAATTAGGAAAAGATCTTATAATCTACTGTCACCTTGAACATTAATAGAAAATGGCCCCGGGCAGTGCACTGGGCAAATCCGGAGAAGATCCCCGCACTTTCACTCCCATCCACTATGGAGCCGCATGGTTTATACTAAGCATCAGTATATCCCATATTGGAAATATAGTGACCTTGTCAACCTTGCCCTCTTGATCAATCTATTCTCTATAACTATTTTTAAATCATCGCGGGGCATTGCTGAGGCATTTTGTTGGAATGACGGCTATAATTGGAAAATCCAACTCTCAACCCATAAATATGAGCCTTTCTTCTGTTCAATACTCATACAATCATCATTCAAGAAATCATATTTCCAAAGTCAAAGCAAATCACAAATACAATTCTCTGCAAACATTGAATTAATTCGCCCCTCCATCATGTTCAATAAAGTCCTCCTTGTCGCCGCCCTCATCGGCTCTACCCTTGCCAATCCAGTCCCCTCAGACAAAACGAAACTCCTCAATAATCCAAAAAAGTCAAAAGCCGACATGAAGCTTCGTCATCATGTCCCTGCTGACGATGCGTGCATAGTGGAGGGTAACTTTGGTTACCATAGTGTGGAGGTCTATGCAACCAAAGAGTCCATGCCAATCGACCAGGTGTGTGGACAGGGATACTTCGACAACTTTCGTGGACGTTGTGGCGTTATCTCCAACTGGGGATGCAAGTTCGTGGACGAGAATGTGGACAGAGTTGAGGAAAAGGAGAAGAATGAGGATCGAATCACGGGCGCCAAGATGACCTTCAGCACTGATGTCTTTTGCTCTGCTAGCGACATAATAGAAGCTATGGGTGCTGCCTCGGCCGCCGACGGGAAGAAACCAAGCGGTTGTGTTAAAAACAAGGGGTGGTAACAACCATAAGTCTGAAGATTCGAGGCCCTTGCGCAATATGTCTGTTGGATTTGTCGTCTCGAGAGTTGTGAATGGAAAATAAGTGGATAACTAGCTAGATATTGTATTTCGTGCCAGGTGCCTATTTCTTCCTGGTGCGCGCTATATCAATCTCCGCTGTCTAGTGCTCACAAATATGATCTACTTTGGAAAAATTGACTATAATTACAACTTGCGGAGGGTAAGGCTGACCCTCTTTAAGTAAATTCTATGTATTCGATGTGCACAGCAAGCCAATCGATTTTGAAGTACACTCAAGGTCGATATATAGACTCTATAAGTTAAAGCCGGAGGTCATAATTATGTATCAATACAGATCTATCACTTCGTATCTCCCTCCCTCTCTATATTCTCAACAACCACAATCCAGTGGGTGACTAAAATGGAAAGAGAAAGTCACGGTGCGGTCTAAATCCGATGTATATGTACGTAGAATACAAAATAAAGAAAAGGGCAGTAAGTCATAAAGTCAGTATATCTAGTTCAACAAGAACCGTGTAGGTACCTCTTGTGATTCAAGCTCCAAGGAGACTGACGTTTTCCGCTTTTTAGGGGGATTGATGTGAATCTTCAATCCTTTATTAAAATTAAGGATACATATCACGGAGTTGACGACAGTGAGAGTCATCAGAAGCAATGATACAGAGGAGAATAATGTCAGAGACACTCGAACAGAGCTGAAATCAGTGCTCTCCCTGGGACTGTGAATTCGAAAGAGGGTAACACCGAAACATCCCATTATAACAAGCATAAAGAACTGAATGAGTGGTTAGTTTCGAGCTGATTGACTTGCACCCGGGAATTCTCACGTTCATAAGTATGAGCGATTTCATTTTCTCGCGCTTGCAAAATTGAGCCGACAGGATCAAGGTCGCTATGGTGGTTGGGATCAAAGCGGCATTGAGGATAAAATCGGCGTCTTCGGCTTGAAAGACAACAAGGAGGATTTGAAGCTGACTTCCGAATACGAAGAAGAAATCGAATTTCAGGAGAGCGATATACACCTGGAAGAAGTAGGTCAGTCGTCAAGCAAAGAATATTACCCGAATGGGCGCAAACTAACCTGATATGTAAAATAACGACGCTTCATCTGCAAATCCGCGCTGATATTCTTGTATATGGACCATGAAAACTCCGCACGCAACTTCCACGTAAAAAAGATCATGCACACAGTCCCGATACCCAAGAATACCGGGACAAGAATGAGCTCAATGTGATGAAATTTTTGCAGACGGTCGCTGATGCTTTTATCGGTCAAGCTGGAGATAGTCTCCTTGATCTCCTGCATCTGGAGAATACCATAAGTGAACAAGCCCAGATTACAGATGCAGAGTCCGACCAGCTGGATTGTGTTCTTTCGGCGCAGTGCATCGTATGACAGACCTAGCTCGTATAGAAGGGCGAAAATGAATAGACCAAGGAATGATTGAAGTCGCATTGGTTTGCTTGCTTTTTCGTCGTCGTCGAGATCGTCCGATAAGCTCATGAGAATCCAGCTAATATCGCCATAAGCCCTCGGTCTGAGAAGGGATCGATATTCGAGGTCGAGCCCCTACCTTTCAATTGCGACTGTGAGGACGGTCTCGGTGATTACCGTTGCTGCAAATAATCGCGTCCATAGTGTATTAGGGACATATAGTAGAGGTCGGCTGTGATTCGGGGCTTTTTGGTGTTCGTTCATGACCGGAAGTGGTAAGGAGTATGTGTAGATCTCTAATTCCTTGACCTTGGACTTTAAGCATCATCGGAAGTGAAAGATTTAGATTGAATGGAGGATCAAAATTGAGGATGTGGAGGTAAGGTAGTTAAAGTGGACTTAGGTGGACTAGGTGGACTTGAACTAATTTCCCCTTTCAGCTTATATTAAACATAAAAGAAGATAGAAGATAAATTCATTCCTTTATAGTGGGGCGACCACGTAAGGCTTTTTATATATTGAAGCCAAGGATTTAGTGTCGTTCTATTTGCAATTGACTTTACTAAAAAAAAAGGAGGCTGACTCTTTGATATTTTATAGGCTGCTATATAATTGACAAGAATAGTCGGTATAAGCTTTATCTGTTTACATTTTAGTCTAAAGTACCTTTTGGTAGATATTCTCTTACTAGAAAGGTAATAATTACCATAGAATATTAGTTGTTGAGATTAGGAGACGTGTCTTCTCTATAGATCTACACTACTAGTAAGTAGTACCTATATTGTTGTAATGTGAACATTCGTATTCGCATATACCTGAAACAGCCAAGATGCTACCTAAGATACACAATTGTAAAAACCCTCACTTCCCTTCAAAGTTTATGTATGTCTCACTTTAGGAGTACTGATATTTAACCTTTTTTAATATCTGAGACATAAGATGTATGTTGATGTTGTATTGTATGCTGATGAGTAGGCTAAGATAATGTAGCGATGGGGATATATCCAAAAAAAAGTAACAATGCATGCCACACCAGTGCTTCAGCCGTTTCAAACTCCAGATGTACCCGAATACCAATACAAAACAAAAAGAATAGAAGAACACATAGCAATGACAAACACAGAAAAACTCCGCATAAATGCATGACACATAATGATATGCATTCGGGCGCGAATGCATCGCGAGTGAGGAAATCAGAATTCCATCTCATCATTCCAGCCCAACTGATCGTATATCGACTGGGACTGTGATTTCTCGGGAGTTACAGGCACAGCTGTGGCACCTTTAACGGGTGTTCCCAAGACGGCAGGTGGGGAGTGAGCGCGAGGAGTATCGGTGACCATAGCATCAAGAGATAGAGAGAATGGTACAGCGGTCGGAGTAGATACACTCTGCGGTGCATGTCTTTTGGGCGGCGTCTCCATGATTGCCGAGGTGCGAGCTTGGTTGAGAGACTGGCTGAATTGTCGAGAGGATGCCGACAAATTCTCAGCAAAGGTGGAGATGTTCCTAGGGCGTGAATGGATGGGGGAGCCTAGGACCATTGGTTGTGTGGATGAGCGAGGCGCTGGGATATTAGGAACCCTGAATAGGCCTTTGCCAGTGGAGGATGATGGCCGACGAGCAGCTATGGTATCACTCTGGAAAAGTTTGGAAGATGGTCTAGTTGGTGTTTCTTGGATAGCTCCATCCGGCTGACTTGATCGTGGACTTCGGCCACCACGGGGATGGCCATGAGAATTGAAAGGGTCGGAGTCGGCGCCAGAGAATGAGATCGCCCGTCGAGTCGAAGATGGTATCATCATGGGAGACTCGCCGAGGGAGTCGCCGAAAGGAGAATTTTCCACACCGGCAAATGACCGGGACGGAACTAGACTACGAGGGAGCGGCGGTAGCCCGGCTGCCGCGTCCTTCTTTCGATTGCCTCGAGGAGTCGCCATGACCTGTACACCCTCGCCGAACGGATTCCGCACGGGGTTTCTCGACTTTCTTGAACTGCCTCCGCCGCTCGTAACCCGTTTCGACGCATCGTCTGCCAAATCCTTGGAGACGAGCTCTCTGTTTGGCTTCCGGAGTGCATTGATAGCAGCATCCAGCTCTTTCTTCTGGTTGGCTAGCATTTGGACCTTTCTCAATTTGGCTTCGTGCTGTCGTGCTACGGCGTTAAGATCTACCTCTCGGTTTTCCGTGCGCTTTGCTTTCTGAATGCCGCCCCGGACACTGCCACTGAGAACAGTGGGTAGCAAGGGCTCAATATCGCGCTTTGTGTTATGCTGGGTCGGTGCAGTGGTGGATCGAGTCAATCCCGGGTGCCGAGCATGGGAGGCTGCCGCTTTATCGTCCGTAAGTACTCGCTGCAATGTTCGTCGGGGTTTCGGTACAGGCTGTTGTCGCTTGACTTCCGCCCCAGGTTCCACGCGGTGTGATTTACTCGAAGATTGTGTCTTCTTAGCAGCGGGGGATATGCCGCCAGATACGCCGAATTTGCGAGTGATCAACTTGCATTTGTCCGGGAGACGTGCGGCATAGAATGGAATAATGACTTCTGTGCAGAAATCACGCACCGCATCGCTCTCGATTTTCTTGCCAGATAGATGGCTGCTACTGAAAGAAGAAGCTTTTGCTGTATCAGCGGCAGACGTTTCTTCCATTGTCACAGCGTGCCAAATGCACATCCGATCGAGATGGAGTTCAAGGAGCATGTTTAAATCTGTGGGCTTCTTAGCCTTGGCTTTCTTCGGCGTATTTTGCTCCCCGTTTGCCTCTTTCTCCTTATTAGTGCTGTTTTTCTCCGCCGAAGCGATGGTCATTTCCAACACCATGACTTCCAAAATCAGCAGGATCTGCAGTTGTGTCTCGCGTAGTCGGAGATCCGAAATCTGTTTCTTAGACTCTGCTTCACGCGATGCTTCCTGCACAGAAGAGCCATTTAAGATCCTGTCCTTCCACCACCTGTGGATGAACCCTTCCTCCTCTGGGTAAAGACCATTCTTGCCCATCTTTTTCTTCCTACTCTTCCTTTTCTTGGATTTCGCGCCATCATCAGAAAGCGCAAGAGCTGCATCGCGAACTACCGATGGCAAAGTTTCTCTGTATTTTAGGTCCATTTTCTTTGTAGCGAGGATAGCCTCACGATAAGATTCAATCAACTCCGTCGAGCCGTGAGGCTGTTCCAAGTCACGGGCCTGGAAAGCAGTCCGGCAGCGTGTCAACGGGCCCTTTGCAAAGTACGCCACAGAAGTCTAGAAAAATGTCAGTCGGACAACCTCCCAATACCGAGTAGAGCATATCACCTTTGAAACATAGAGAGCCTGTAGATAGTGATCTCTCATTCCGTCCAGCAAGTCCTCTGGCGACTGTTGCACATCCACGACATTAGACTCAACACCATCAACATCCATAGCCGTAGTGGTATCCCCTAAGCCTTGAGATTCTGGAAGCAAGGAAGAACCCCCCTCAGCAGCATCGAAACTCCTCGACGGAGCAAGCGAATGACTCCGGTGCTCGACAACACCCACAAAGGATGCCTCGGTATTCTGGAGATCCGACTCAGACGGACCGAAGACTACCGCAATGTCGAGCCCAGCAGACTTCTCGCCCTCAAGGTCGGAGAGGGGCTCATCGATCTGAGCAACCTGCCACCAATCAAACTCGTCGGGAATAGTACTGGTCTCGTCGACGGCCATGCTATCTACGTCCGCCGCGTCAGTTGCATGCCAGCCCTTGGCCGCAACAACGAGATTGCCTTCGTGCACCCATCGGGCGAGCTTGGAGAGCGAGTATATGCCCCTCTTCACCCTCTCGACAATGTAGAGTCCACCATTGGGTACCAAGCGCACGGCGAGGACAGTTGGTTCCGCCTTTGGGCGTAGGTCAACTTCCAGGGTCGGGATGTCCGCGGTGAAAAGGCCGCCTGGCCGCTCATCAGACCGGGAGGCAGGCGTGTCGTCGAGCCATGAGAGGGGTAGTCTAGTGCGAGGGAGTGCGGTAATTGGTTCGAGGATTAAGGGTTCATCAGATAAAGACGCCGAGTGAGCCTATACAAGATGTGGAGAGTGAGCAACAGCAACCAATGGATTGAGGAGCGTGATGGGCTAATTATAAGCATGACTTACTCTTATGACAATGGAAGAGGTAGCAAGCTGTCCAGCAGCATCATTTAGCTCCTCTTGGTCATCTCTTTTCCGCTTCTTTATGGGTAGAGGGGTCGGTTCGTGAAGTTTGTTCAACGCGGACGAACTGAGGGGATCCAGGATGTTGGGGACTATACGCGAGGCCATGGTCGCGTCTAGAAAATTGTGGACATCCTTAATTTGAACGCAAGAGTTGAGTCTATGAACAACACCTTGGAAGCAATTGATATTGTGCAGACAGATCGCGCTCAAATCTTGGCGGGTCTTACGCGTCGGGACGTGCACTCCGCCTGGACTGGATCGACGTAGTTAATTGATTTTCAAAGTGGACAAGTTCGTGAAATTGATTAGAGGAATAAGTACTTTAAAAATGCTAAGGGATACTAAGAACTACTACTAGATCTGTAAAAATATGTATAAAAAAAAGATATGAAATATTATGAATCTATCGCTAATGTTTAGATTAGCAGGCCCAGGGCCAGGACGAAAAGAACCTTCACAGACTCTCACAGAGAGTGCCGTATAGAAAGTCTTCTCGGTAGGCACCATGGACAGTGAGGTAGAAATGTGGTGTTGAAGACTGTCGCTCCAGAAAAACGCCAAAAACTTCCTTTCCCAGCCGATGAAAAGTGGTATCATGTTGAATTTTGTCTTCGCCGAAAAGGCCCGTCGATTGCGCGACCATGCAGATAATGAAACAAGAGAAGTTCGTCTCCAAGTGGAAACCAACTTCTGGATTTTATGAGGGTTTTTTTTTTATAGTCTATGCTCATCGTGCTTTGAGTTGTTGAAAACAAAGCAAATCATCACAGTCGTCAAGAGTTGCCCGGAGTCACCGGACCAAGCAGAGCCCGCTTAGAACTTGAGGGCACGGGGTGACTCCCAGGA